AGAATTAAGGTTTGTTTATGTGTGTATTTCGTTATGGATTTTTGCATTTTGCTATGTGTATTTGATTACGTATTTTATATTTTTACTACGTGTTACGAGGCAATCTGTTGTTTAAAAGTTTGTATTTCATTATGGATACTTCTTGTACAGATATCAAATGCCATTGTGGGGGTTAAATTCATATTTATATATCTTAGATGTGGTTTAAGTAGATAATAATCTTGCACTAAGAAAATGTGTGGAAACACATTAGTGATTCTGTCATGAAAACAATTTAAACCATTTTAAATAATCACATCATGTGTAAAACAATATATTCTTTGAATAAATTGATTTTTGTTGAACATGACATTATAGCGTTCTCATTATTGTCATTTGGATTGAATGAAGCATTCTAGCAAAAACTACAAGGTCTAATGGCTTAACAGGGTTTAAATCATTTTCTATGAGAATGGCTAAACTATGTGTGATTTATTTGCTCTGCATCTAGACATTTTGCATTTATGAGTGACTTATAACTTGTTCGAAATTGGTGACTAAATTTTACTATTTTTAATGGTTGTAATGTAACCTTTGTGCGGTTTTATTTTTTCTTTCTTGTTAAATCAAGGTGTTATGCTTGTCCATTTACTACAAATTTTACATGGTATAGTACTAACTGTATGATTTGCTCTATGAAGGCCAGAAGACTTAAGGGGGCCCTTTAAACAATTTGGCCCTTTAAAGGACATCCATTTGCCAATGACTTATTACACTGGGTGAGCTTTCATATAATGGTTTTTTGGATTTACGTTGAACCATCACTTTTTTATGTAATTATATAAATGAATTGTTGACCTATTTGCCTTATTTTATATGATTTTCCTTATCAACTTCCAGTTGCTATTTTTATATGTTATCATCCCGAATTGGGTTGTTTATTAAGATTTATGGAATTTAGTAGTGAAGTAAGAGTTGTGAAGACTTCAATCAAGTTTTAAGAGTCCTATAGACACATTCAAGTATTAAGAATTATGTTGACACATTCAAGTATTAAGAG